ATCACCCCTCTCTTGTATTTAGTACTGTACCTAATTGTATGCATAAACTGCGTGACCTTGATAGGGATTCCCAGCTTCAAGATGAGCTCCATGCTGATTTAGTACTGTCTCTTATACACATCTAGATGTGTATAAGAGACAGGACCTCTTCTCCCTCTCTGCCTACGGTTTACCGGGCAGTTCTATTTGACGATATATATATATATATATATATATATATATATATATATACACATGCATGAGTGGTGTGGCATATATATAAGATTCTTAGTAAGATTCTTAGATTCTTAGTGAGATTCTTAGTAAGAATCTTAGTAAGATTCTTAATAAGAATCTTAGTAAGATTCTTAGATGAAATGAAATTGTCGCATGCTATTCAACCTCTTTTGTCGTCCCCTCTTGCCTTCCTTCCTGTTTTGCTGCAAGGGCCTTATCAGAGCCGTCAGCTGACAGTCCACAAAGGCCTTATCAACGGTGGCTTCAGCTTCTCAAATACAAGTCCATGAACACGGAAACAGTGGCTACTGATATAGGCTGATGACTGCTTTTTCCTGCTGCGTGCGACCCCTTCCTCCGCCCCCTCTTCTCCTTTCTGCGCTTCCCCCCTTTCTTCCCTTCTGCCCCAAAGGTGTCAACCTACTGTCTTCCCCCGAGTACAACGTACAGTTATTATAGCTGAATTTGGGGTATCTTTCAGTCTAAATACAGCTAACTATAATGACCGTACGTTGTATTCGGGGGAAGACCGTAGCCAGACAAAGTCTGGGCCAGATAAAGCTGAGAGAGTTGTCTCCCATGTGTCGAGATGATTCGACACAACCAATTGCGTCGAGACTCGAGAGTCATTGCTGTTCACTTTCCCACATGACCCCACTCTTACCCCTCTGTCCTGTCAAGATTCTGCCAATGGAGGCTTTCAAAATTTTCCCCATGCGCAACACGACTCTTAGGACCATCCCCATTCGCAACACGACTCTTAGGACTGATGGTCATTGCTGCA